GGCATCCATAAAAAATTTGCCTCAGTCGCCAGACCGCAAGCGAATAGCCAAGTTGAAGCAGTCAACAAGACCATCAAGCACACTCTGAAGGCCAAGCTCGGGGCAGCCAAAGGAAATTGGGCTGACGATCTCCCCGAAGTCTTATGGGTGTATAAGACAACTCCAAGAACCTCCACCGCGGAAACCCCTTTTTCACTAGCCTATGGCTGCGAAGCGATGATCCTTGTAGAGGTCGGAACTGGTTCTCTTCGGAGGGGCTTGTACAATGAGGTCGAAAACGAAGCGCTTATGAGAGCAGGTTTGGATCTGGTCGAAGAGTACCGCAACAAGGCTTCGCTAAGGATAGCAGCCTACCAGCAGCGAGCAAAAAGGTTCTTCGACTCAAAGGTCAGGCGAAGAGACTTCCAGGTCAGAGATCTTGTGCTAAAGGAAGTTCTCCTCGGGACCAGAGAGCCAAGTGCAGGGGTATTAGGGCCTAACTGGGAAGGTCCGTACCAGGTCGACAAAGTGATCAGACCGGGGACTTACCACCTCAAAAGATTGAACGGCTCCAAAGTACCCCGAGCTTGGAATGCCGAGCACCTCCGGCCATACTATCAGTAATCCTGAACTCAGCTCTCAGTTTTTGTTAATTTCTTTCAAGTATTACTTTGTTCGCTCGAAACAGTTCGCATGTGTTCTGTTCGCATGTAAGAATTTGTATGTAATTGCTTGTGTAAATCACAATTGTAAATTGCACATAAATATATGAAAAGGCGAACTACAATTGTAAAGAAAATGTCTCCATTTATGTACAAACAAAAAGTCACAAGACCCGATTACAATGGGGACAACTCATTACGCTAAGGCTGGTCGGGGGGATCCTTTGAACCAGAACCCCTTGCCTGGTCGGGTCGTTAGGCGGCCGCGGCTTCCTGATCACTCTCCTCGGCCATGATCTGCAAAGTCGCTTGCCAACCCTCCAGGAGGTCGAACATATCCAGATCTGGGTTCTTTGCTCGCAGGGAGTAAATAGACCCGATTGCCCAGTCTGCGGCCTTCTCTTCCAGCTCCTCTAACTGATTCCACATTTCTTCAGTCAGGGAAGCGATTCTCTCCTGACTCTCCTGGAGTTCGGCCTCAAGAGCTCGCCTTTCCTGTTCGGAGGCCTCCCTGTCTTATTCAGCTCGCTGAGCCCGTGCGAAGGTCGCCTGGATCTCCTGGTCCTTTTCTCCGACCTCCTTGGAGAGCCTGGCGGTTGTCCTTTGAAGTTCTTTAACTTCCTCCGCACGTCGGTCGAGTTCCGTCTTTTGGAAATCTACCGTTCGTAAAGCGGCATCCTTTTGGCTCAGATACTTGTTCGCCGCTTCGAACGCCTATGTTCTTTCCGCTTCAACGGACTCCAAGCTCTGCTTCAACTTCGCGACCTCCTCCTGTAGGTCGCTGGACCCCTTCGCGGCTCCCAGCCGTGTCTTCTTCATAGACATCCTCATCGTAAGCAACGCCTGCGAGCAAGATGTGAGTTAGAAATAAATCAGAATGAAGTTTCAAATACAGCTCGTTTACCTTGCTCAGATGCTGGAACGACGTGGTCATCAGGTCGTCCCCCGTGTCTGCAAACTCATCGTATGACTCCGATAGCTCGCACTCGAGCAGGCCATAGACTATCGACTGCAGGTGCTCGGGCAAACTCCCTAATGAGTCTAGAACTGGTGCGTCCTTCGCCTTGCCGGCAGCGGCCGCCTCGCTCACGGGCTCCTTGCCCGACCTCCTGGATTCCTGGCGCATCCTCAGAGGCTCCTCCTCGGATTCGGTCTCAGACTCTTTGGCGTGGACCTGTTTCCTCTTCTTGGACCTTTGGGCCGGAGCCTTCCACCTTGGGCGAGCAGATGGTGCCTGAGCGACCTGTTCTGTCCTGGTCGCTTCTTGCACAAGACGGGGCTGCGAAGGCGCAGCAGCTCGCAACGGCTGTGCTAGAATAGGACGGGCAGCTTCGGCCACTCTCTCCTTCCTCGATCGAGGGAAAACGAATGGTGCTCGGCGGGGCTGCCCGGACTCCTTTGGGGGCATGGTCTCTGCATTTAAGTTCGTTAGTAAGGAAATTTATTCTACGACCAGAAAGGAACCAGTATAACTTACCTTCTGGGGGTTCTAACGATGCCTTATTACTGAAAAAACCGTACTTTCGCAAGTTCGCGGTTGTCACAAGCTTCCTCGCGTCCCGGCTCTCCTCATCCAGTACTCCGAAAGATATGAGCCTATCTGGGTCAGCGAGTAGCGCTTGTTCGGTCGTTCTATTAACTGCAAAAGAAAACAGGTCGTTATTATGGATCAGGCGAGTAGATAATGAACCCAGTGAAGGAAAACCTACTTGGATCCTGAAAACGGCAGTAGCCTTCATAAAAGAAGAAGAAGAACTTTGTCTCGTAGGCCCCCGCATTGCTGGGATAGCTGTGTATCCCCGCGGCAATGGTAGGTCTCCGAGACATTTATTACGAGTCCTTGTCCCTACTCTTCTTAAGTTAGTAGGCGACTCCGAGCTCCACCGCCGTCGGCTCTCCCAAGCCGCTCTCGCAGCACGCGATGTACATCGCGACAGTGATGACGTACGCGTTTGGCTTCAGCTGCATCGGTGCGATCCCGAAATGATCCAAGACCGACCTGATGAAAGGATGGAAGGGAATCCTCCCTCCACCCTTGAAGATCTCTTCAGAGATCGCGGCAAGGCTATCGGCCGGGCGCCGTGACGGCCTGGTGTGGTCGAGGAACACCTCCGCGCGGATGTCAAAGTGCCTCTTTATTCTATTATATTCCTCAGAGGTGAGAACCGAGTAGACATCGAGGGCTGCATCCTCGGGAACTCCCCGCGAGGACGAGCTGGCTCCTTCCTCGGGTCTGGATGTTGACGATTCCATTCCAGCCTGCAACATCGACAGACAGGGTCATTTAGGCCTTCGTGTTTGTCCCGTGCGGCGACAGGGGACAAATTCTTAAAACCTAACAGTGACTCAAGCCGCCATCGACGGCTCGAATCCAATGACGGCGTCACGTCTCTGGTGAAACACCAGGAGACCCAACGCCATGGTCCAACCAAACCAGTGCAAAATGAAAAAGGGGAAAGGAGAATCTTACTCTCTGGGATGCGAAGCTGAGGCCGAAACTTGTTTCAGTTGCCTGAAAAGCGCCGATCGGAAAAGAATGGTTCCTGGTTTGCAAAGGTTTGTCACTCGAAGCGAAAGAAATTTCGGTGACCTCATCTGAAAAATACCAGTTTTTATATGGATTGCGAATCGACGGTTACCACCCCTCGGAATCGAAATGACAGCTCTCTCTCTCCCCGCATTAAATGCGCCCCACGTCGCATTAAATGCCGTGATAAGACTCGTCATTTCGAATCCACGTCGCATTAAATGCCGTGATAGGAGTCGTCGTTTCGAATGCGTTACACAACCAATACTATCAAAACGGCGTCGGGTCAGCACACAACGCATTTAATGTGTCTGACAAACGCTTTAACGCATGCAGAGCGCCTGACAGCGCAGAGCCAGGTTCATTGAACCTCTAAGGTATAGAAAGGAGCGTCCATCAGATCCAGGTCGCTAGGATGAAGATTGTCAGGTCGCTTAGGCAAGGAATTGCGCGAGATCATGTTCGCCAAGAGTCCTGTGCTGAGCTCATCCCATTCAGGTCGGAACGACCAGAATCTCCGATGTGACTTAGTTTCCAAGGTTCGATCCTCAAACCTTAAAAATTAGGGGGCTTCTGTTATGCCTGGGAAAATAAGGACTGCTGCGGGAAAGTCACATGAAGAGTGACTTGCTCCCGTCAGAGCAACACGCACACGTCAAACCTGCCAAGTGATATGGAGCTCACACGTGTCCCTTTCCCCTGCAATAAATCGTGCGAAATCAGCTTGGGAAGAGAGAAATGGGACATAAAGCCGGATTATATCCTGACAATCGCACCAACCCATGGATTTAATGATGATTATACGCTTCAGTTTGATATAAAATGAAGAAGACCCCTTCATTAAGGGTATTCGGCCATTTTTACAAAAAACGCTCTCTCTCCTGTAAACACATTGACTTTTCATAATTCCTCTGTAAGTCATTCCGCTTTGCGACCTGACCCACACTAATATCAATACAAATCAGTGGACGTAGGACTTGCTACCTTAGCATCCAACCCACTTTAAAAAGCTTTCTTTGCATTTATTTCACTTGATACATTCATTATCACGTGTGTTTATCCTCCAACCAGCAATGTGCACGTGACAATTAGTTGGTGCCAAAATCCAGCATCAACAATAAGAAACAGAGCATACTAATTAAGAAATACAAAATTACCAGAGAGAAAGTGCTAATTAAGTTTCATTTTCAGTTAGAATTAAAACAACTAGAACGAAGAAACACTTGCTTCAACCAGGCTGGTGGAGGCCGGAAACACTTACTTCATTTCTGGTCTACATTTCTCCATATTCCCAGTTTACTTTGACCACCATATCTCGCCATAACAGAAAACGAAATCTCCTCTCACCGTTTTAATTTTTTAAATGGTAAATAAAAACATAAAAGATTATATATATAGCGTGGTAAAGCTGATCTGAGTACATACCGCAATACGGGTTCAGAGGTGTATGGATTTAAAGTACATTTTGAATGGATCGTTAAATTTTGCAGGTAATATCCATTCTTGCAAGGAAGGGTCGTTGTGAGAGGACTTCCATTGATGAAGTGTACCTTACTGATGCGGGAGCAGCTATGCTAGCAGAAACTCCTCCAGAGAGCTTGGAAGTAGTAGATGAGGAAGCTCTTAAATCAATGCCATTGTATTGGTAACTTGTACACTTACCACACTCTGGCTTTACCCATGAATTTCCAGTGATTACTTCTGGAAATAATTGTACTTACACTGAATGTGAAGGGTGTTTATATTTTAAAACTTTCTTTGAAATCCATGTCCATGTGCCAATTTTTACCAAGAAATTGGTGGTATGCACCACATCCATATCCATTCCGAGCAAAGTTTTCATTGACTTAAGAGTTAATCCTTACAAGTACGTATTAAGTTGTCTTTTAACAAAAACCTTATACATCAAACCCCAAGATTTTTATACAAACAAGTATAACACATAAAACTAACAACCAATTTTTGCAAACTCAGTAGGAGGAGATAGTCAAGCATTCATTTCACCATTCTCTGCTCGATTGGTAAGCATTTGTTTCACCCTTCCATGCTTGTCGACTGACAATCAAACCTTATCCGCAAATCTTCACCATATTTCCTTCTTTAACCATCACAGCATCAGGCTTGGGATGTTTCGTCACAATCATCTCTGCTGAATCTTCTCTGTTTCTCCCAAGCACGGGCAGTGAGCTCTTGCCTGTTTTTGAAGTTAACAACCATATATACATACATACACACATCAACTATTTTCTCTTCGGAACGACACACAATTCAGACCCTAAAACCTCTACAGATAAAAATTACAAGAACACGAAATTTTACTAATCATGCGTTGCTGTTAGCTTTACAAGGAAATGTCTCCACATTAGAGAATATCTAATATACCGTTCTCTTTCAGGCAGAGAGGAAACTCTATAGATAAATCAAGCATTACTGGCAAATTATCATACATAATAAGCTTTTGAAATTTGCAACAAATATTTATATTTCTAAAATATGCAAGCGGAGAAAACCGGAAACAGAACACTAGTTGAAACGCAGAAAAATTTACTTGAGAATTGACTGATTTCATTTCATTTCAACACCAATGGAAAATTGAGCAACACACAGAAAGTGGAAATGGAGATACATACACATATAAATATAAATCAAATGGAATCGACTAGAACAAAGAAACATTTACTTCAACCAAGCTGGAGGAGGCCAGAAAAGGTTCAAATAGCCTGGAAAACCTGGGAGATGCCCAACTACATGATCTTTGAAGTCACAAATCCAAGTATCTTGTCCAGGGTAATCTTCAATAACTGAGTTATAATCTGCATAGTACACACAACCCCCTTTACATCCTGCTACCTCCTTAATCGAAAATGAATATGCAATACGCCTTCTACCCACAAACAATACGCTATCTTCCACCTCTAATCCATCCACAACTGGAACCCATTTTTGGTTCTCTTCATTAAGCTTAAAAAGCGCGATATTATACTCATCATCATCATCGTACTCCTGGAACTGAACAATCAAAAACAAATCATTATTCAGCTCGATCAAGTATATCATCCAATATTTCCAATCCAACTGTAGCTTTTCTGCAACTCCAGTAACAGTCAAAGATTTAGGATCCACAGTTACAGTATGGCCCTTGGGGAGCACAGCATAAAACTTGTGATTATGATAAATGATATCCTCCAAGACCTCAGGATATTGAAGTCCCATGTCGATTATACTCCATTTCTTGTCTAAATTTCTCCAGATTTCTAGTTCTTTCGTATCATTATCTCTCGCCATAACAGCAAACTCATCATCATTCTCATCAAGAGACGATGAAAATATCAATTTCACAACAATATGCTGTTCATCAGTTGATACAAGTTGGTATGACTTAGTTATTTCAGTAACCCGATAATCTAACAAATTTAAAGATTTGGTAAGTGATCGGACAAGTCTTTACATTCTGAACCAAAAATTGGATCAATGATTCGGACTCTACCTGGGTTTCGCTCTTGGACTCTGACCACCCACGTTTGAGGAGTTTCTTCTTCGTGGGTATGGGAGGTTTTGTTGAGGGGCTCGATGGCGTAAACAGTGGAGACAGTGAAGTCAAAGTGGTGTTCTTCATCTGGGTATGGGCCTTTGAGGAAGTCGGTGGTGGCTAGAATAGAGTGTGGGAATGGGTATTGTTCTGAAGGAAGAGGAATTGTGGCGCGAAATGAACGACAGACGGCGCGCAAACGGAGGATATCGATTCGTGCTGGGAGAAGTTTCACGATGGAGAAGAGGAGGTCTTCAGAAATTCTGCTTCAATCGGGTTTGATTCCCGCCATTAGAAAGGAAGAACTGGAGAAAGAAGAAGAGTAAGCCGAAGAGAAGGTTAGGTTTTGCTGAAATAGTATCTGTAATGGGGTGTCTTTGCAAGAGCTGCAAACATACCACATGGTCCGTTAATTTTGAAAATTTAGGGGTACTATAGTTTGCCCCATTTTTTAGATCCTTTTTTATAAGGTTTTTTTTTTTTTTTAATTTTAGAGTTAACGACTTTTTCCCACCCAATGATGGCGTAACGGCACTTTCCCACCTTATACTTTTAGCCGGTTTACTACCCAAACATTAGATTCCATTAACAGTTTCAGTTAAAAGTAGTGATATTCACTATAAAGACCGAAGATCAACCCTCAATTGCCGACCACCGCAATCAAAGTTTGATGCACCTCAACCCAAATTTCGGCCAATTTCAACACCGAAAATCGACCTCGTCACCACCATTCAACTCATCAATGTCCCCAACCAAAACCCCTCTCACCCCTCACACACAATCACTCCTCAATCGCCCATGCCACTTGGAGTGGGTGTAAAATGGTCGCCGTCAGCAATGGAAACAACCCAAAAACCCAACACAATCATTCTTTAAACATTCAATAAGCCCAAACAACCACAAAGAAACATCAAATCAAAGCCAATTTCACAGGAAAATAAAAACCCAGTCACGGCCATGGAGGCGAGTTCGGCCAATGATCAACGGGCTAACAGGTGACAGGATTTGGAGGGCTTTGTAGTGTGGAGTGCAGTGGTTCGAATGGTGGTATTGGATTGGATTTTGGCCGCCATTAGCCACCGGAATTTGGTTTAGAACACAAAATCCTAACAAGGCAATGCCGATGAACGGTGGGAGGAGAGGCTTGGAAACATTGGGGATTTTGGTTTATAGAGGATGGGGAAGCTGGAAGAGGGATGAAGGAAAGTCAACAATGTCAGATTCCGGCCAAAATAGTTCGAAGAATGGGACGCGCGCATGAGGATTCCAATGGTGGGTTTGATGAGGATGTTGGAAGATGGATTTTGATGAAGGAGGCACCAGGAACAAGATGGTGGTGGTGGGGAGTCGCAAAAATGCCGAAATTGGCTAGCGACGCAAAAAAGGCAATCGCGATTAGAGGAGGGGAGATGAAGAAGAAGAAGATCCATCAATTGACATTGACCGTCCTGCCCTTTCTTATAAGACATTTTTTTTACCATTCTACCCTTCTTTATAATGAAATTTACAAACAGAATTAAGCTTTGGGTAGTAAAGTGGTATTTTAGAAGTTTGAGGTGGGAAAGTGTCATTACGTCATTATTCGGATGGGAAAAAGTCATTAACTCTTTTTTTTAACCTTCTATTTTTTACTTTTTAGCGCCCACCTAATTCATCTTCAGTTCTTCACCCACTACTTTAAAATTTATTTTTTGTTTTGCCAAATTTAACCTTCTTAATTTAAATTACTAGAAATAATATTAGATTTTTTAAATACACTCATACTACATTTTATATTTTTGTTTCAAATTTTAATATTGAATCTTACATAAACCCTAACTCTAAATTTTTGTAATTATTGAAACCATTTGTTTTATTTTAAATATTCGTTTGTATAAAAAATATAACTTAATGAATTTAAATCTAAAGAAGAGAAAATAAGTTGAAATTAGGAAATCGGGGAAAATTGGTGTTATGCACCATATCCATATCCATTCTGAGCAAAATACATATTAAGTTGTCTCTTAACAAAAACCGCCAAGAGTTTTAGACAAACAACACATAAAACTAACAACCAATTGTTGCAAACTGAGTAGGAGGAGATAGTCAAGCATTCATTTCACCATCTCTGCTCCATTGGCGGCATTCATTTCACCATTCCATGATATCCTCAAATGTCCACCATGTTTCCTCACAATCATCTCTGCTGACTCTTCTCTGTTTCTCCCCAGTAAGCTCGCGCCTGTTTTTGAAGTTAAACAAACCATATATACAAGCATACACATATCAGCCATTTTCTCTTTGGAAATTGGAACGACACAAAACTCAAACCCCAAAACCCCTACTGATAAAAATTACAAGAACACAAAATTTTACTAATCATATATTGCTTTTAGCTTTTCAAGCAAATGTCTCCACATTTGAGAATATCTAATATATTCTTCTCTTTCAGGCAAAGAAGAAACTCTATAGATAAATCAAGTATTATTGGCAAATTGTCATACATAATAAGCTCTTGACATTTGCAACAAATATTCATATTTCTAAAATATGCAAGCGGAGAAAATCGGAAACAGAACGCGAGTTGGAACACAAAAAAATTTACTTGAGAATTGACTCATTTCATTTCAACACCTATAGAAAATTGAGCACCGCACAGAGAGTGGAAATCGAGATGCATATACATATAGATATAAATGGAATGGAAACGACTTACTTCAACCAAGCTGGAGGAGGCCAGAAAAGGTTCAAATAGCTTGGAAAAACAGAGAGTTCCCCAACTACATGATCTTTGCAGTCACAAATCCAAGTATATTGTCCGGGGTAATGGGCAATCGACCTAAAACCTGCATAGTACACACAACCCGCGACCTCCTCAATCGAAAACGAAAATGCAAAACTACTTTTACCCATAAACAACACTCTATATTCCAACTCTAATCCATCCACAACTGGAACCCATTTTTGGTTCTCTTCATTAAGCTTAAAAAGCATGATAATATACTCATCAAAATCATCGCCGAACTCCCGGAACTGAACAATCAAAAACAAATCATTATACAGCTCCATCAAGTATAGCTCCGAATATATCGAAACGAACTGCAGCTCTTCTGCAACTCGAGTAACAACCAAAGATTTAGAATCCACAGTTACAGTACGGCCCTTGGAGAGCACAGCATAGAACTTGCGATTATAATAAATAACATCCTCAACAAACTCAAGAAATCCAAGAAATCCAAGTTCCATGTCGATTTTACTCCATTTCTTGTCAACATTTCTCCAGATTCCAAGTTCTTTTGTACAATTGTCTCTCGTCATAACAGCAAACTCAACATCATTCTCATCAAGAAACGAAGAAAATATCAATTTTGTAACAATAAGCTTTCCACCAGTTGATACAAGTATGTATGATTTAGTTATTTCAGTAACCCGATAATCCAACAAATTTAAAGACTTTGGTAACTGATCGGACAAGTCTTTACATTTGGAACCAGAAATTGGATCAATGATTACGACTCTACCTGGGTTTGGTTCTTGGACTCTGACCACCCACGTTTGGGGAGTTTCTTCGCCCTGGATATTGGAGACTTTATTGAGGGGTTCGATGGCGTAAACAGTGGACACCATGAGGGTAAAGACGTCATTTTCTTTAGGGTTTGGGCCTTTGAGGAAGTCGTTGGAGGTTAGAATAGAGTGTGGGAATGGGTATTGTATTGGAGGATGAGGAATTGTGGCGCGAAATGAGCGACAAACGGCGCGCCAACGGAGGATATCGATTCGCGTAGGGAGAAGTTTTACAATGGAGAAGAGGAGTTCTTCAGGAAGTGTACTCCAATTGGGTTCGATTCTGGCCATGGCAAAGAAGAAGCAGGAGGAAGACGAAGACTGGAGGGAAGATAAATGTTTAGCTTTTCTTGAATCTTGATGGGATGGGGTTGTAAGTTTTGGGAAACTCCGGGGATTCAAAATTTTCAAAGTTGTGTGTCACTCATATGTAATTATTGAAAACTAAGGGGTTTTGGGAGTGAGAATTTTCTTTTTCGAAAACTTTTACAACTTATATTTTACAAACCCATGTGTTATAGATTGAATTAATGAATAGATGTGAAAAAAAAAATAATAATAAATAAACGAATGACACGTCAATTAATAAATAGTGTCTCTTAAGTTTGTATATGTGCACCACTTGAAAAACGGGAGAACGACATAAGCTGAAACTGGAATGCTGGTTCAGCCAAGTTGATGAAGGCCGAAAGATGTTATAATGTCCTGTTTCATCTGAGATGTGAACAACTTTACCTTTACCATCTTTTCAACTTAAAAATCCAGGCTGCTCCTCCCAGTATTTATAACGAAAAGTTCTGCAAAATCTTATAACATAAATACAACTCCCTTCATATCTGGAGAACTCTTTGGCTAAAACAAATAGTCACACAGTTAATGGAGACAATAATTGTTTTAGGGAAATCCAGCAGACTCTTAGACATTAAATATTCTGATAAGACTCAACCATTTTCTCAATATAAGAACAAAAAAAAAAACAAAAAACAAAAAACAAAAAGTAGGCAACTCTTGAAGACCTTGTATTATAAATAATAAATATTTCAAAATTGGTTGTTATAATTAATCTCCATAAAAAAAATCGATTTGATTTTTAAAATTATTATGATGTTAACAGAATTCATTTTAATTGATTTTTTTTTTTTTTTTTGGTATAATTTTGTCTATATAAACTTCTTTACTAATAATTAATTTTCACGTTTAAAGAGAGAAACTGAAAAACTCTGGGGGTACAATTGAAACTTTCTCAACTTTATTTTATTTTTTGTCCATTATAATGTATCATAGACATGGTTGTCTGCAGATGCTGGCCAAACTTGCTAGTGCTATGAAACTGTTGTGCCCCTTGCATCTGTAAAAGGACTGCTCAATTTGCTGCCAGTTAAAAAGATGTAGGTTTTTGTGATAGTTACTATATGTTTTTCATGCTCATGTTATTGAATTTTTTTTTTTTTTTTTGGTTGTATTTTTATAAAGTAGAGAGGTTGCTGCTTTTTACGGTCTTCCAATCTGAAATACATTCTTCTTAATTCAGACTTTCATTTGCAGGAAACAGCTTGGTGGGTGTGAACATTGTTGTGACCTTTTGAACACTGTTCTGATCTATCATACAAACTAACAACTAATTGTTGCTAAGTAGGAAGAGATAGTCAAGCATTCATTTCACCATTTCTGATCCATTGGTGGCATCCATTTCACATTCCATGCTTGTCAACCGGCAATCAAACCATATCCGCAAATGTTCACCATGCTTCTTTAACCATCACAACATCAAGCTTGGCATGTTTCCTCACAATCATCTCTGCTTCCTCTTCTCTGTTTCTCCCCACCACTGGCAGTAAGCTCTTGCCTGTTTTTGAAGTTAACAACCATATATACAAACATACACACATCAGCCATTTTCTCTTCGGAAATCGGAACGACACAAAATTCAGACCCCAAAACGTCTACAGATAAAAATTACAAGAACACAAAATTTTACTAATCATATATTGCTTTTAGCTTTTAAAGCAAATGTCTCCACATTAGAGAATATCTAATATACTCTTCTCTTCCAGGCAAAGATGAAACTCTATAGATAAATCAAGCATTATTGGCAAGTTATCGTACATAATAAGCTCTTGACATTTGCAACAAATATTCATATTTCTAAAATACATTTGTTGATAATACACGAGTTGGAACACAAAAAAATATACTTGAGAATTGACTGATTTCATTTCATTTTATTTCAACACCTATAGAAGATTGAGCACCACACAGAAAGTGGAACTCGAGATGCATATACATCTAGATATAAATGGAATGGAAATTGGAAACGACTATAAAAAAGAAATGTTTACCTCAACCAAGCTGGAGGAGGCCAGAAAAGGTTCAAATAGCTTGGAAAAACAGAGAGTTCCCTAAAACCTGCATAGTACACACAACCCGCGACCTCTTTAATAAAAAACGAATATGCACAACTACTTCTACCCACAAATAACACTCTATCTTCTAACTCTAATCCATCCACAACTGGAACCCATTTTTGGTTCTCTTCATTAAGCTTAAAAATTGCGATATTACACTCGTCATAATCATCATCGTCGTCCTGGAACTGAACAATAAAAAACAAATCATTATTCAGCCCGATCAAGTATAGCATCGCACATTCGTAATACAACTGCACCTTTCCTGCAACTCGAGTAATAACCAAAGATTTAGGATCCACAGTTACAGTGTGGCCCATGGTGAGCACTGCATAAAACTTGTGAGCATGATAAATAATATTCTCCACAAAGAACTCGGGAAAATTAAGTTCAATGTCGATTTTACTCCATTTTTGTCTAAATTTCTCCAGATTCCAAGTTCTTTTCCATAACTATCGCTCGCCATAACAGTAAACTCGTCCTCATTCTCATCAAGAGATGAAGAAAATATCACTTTTGAAACATCAAGCAATTCAACAGTTGGTTTAAGTTCGTATGACTTGGTTATTTCAGTAACCCGATAATCCAATAGATTTAATGAAACAGTAACCAATCGGACAAGTTTTGACATTCTGAACCAGTAATAGGATCAATGATTCGGACTCTACCTGGGTTCGGCTCTTGCACTTTGACCACCCACGTTTGTGGAGTTTCTTCGTCGTGGGTATGGGAGGTTTTGTTGAGGGACTCGATGGCGTAAATAGTGGAGAACATGAAGTCAAAGATGTCTTTGTCATCTAGGTTTGGGCCTTTGAGGAAGTCAGCGGTGGTTAAAATAGAGTGTGGGAATGGGTATTGTTCTGAAGGAAGAGCAATTGTGGCGTGAAATGAACGACAAACGGCGCGAAAACGGAGGATATCGATTCGTGTAGGGAGAAGTTTTACGATGGAGAAGAGGGTCTTCAGGAAGTGTGCTCCAATCGGGTTCGATTCTGGCCATGACAAAGAAGAAGCAGGAAGAAAACGAAGACTGAAGGCAAGATAAATGTTTAGCTTTTCTTGAATCTTGATGGAGGAAGATAAAGACTGAAGACAAGATAAATGTTTAGCTTTTCTTGAATCTTGATGGGATGGGGGTTAAGTTTTGAGAAACTTCGGGGTGTATTGTAAAATTTGCAATCTTATCACTCATATGCAATTGCTAAGAACTAAGGGGTTTTAAGAAGATTTTTTCTTTTCTGAAAACTTAGTATGTACAAACTTTTTTATACAAGTCGATGTGTTATAAATTGAACGATAGAGATTGGGTGACAAACACTTCTCACAAACGTGACGTGACAGCTTGCAATTGGTTAGCAGAACCCATTATTGGATAGACAAGACTCATTGCGAGCAGTTACGTTGCATTTGTGAGAAAAAGTTAGTGAGAAAGATTTATCAACGTAATATTACTCTAAATTGAATCTAACGATTAATGAATACATGCAAAAAATGAACTTTAATACTAAAAAAATAAAGGTGAATAACATGTCAACTAATGAATAGTGAGTTTGTATACATTAGTTTTAGTTTGTATATGTACACCGTTTAAAAAAACATCATTAGTTTTAGTTTGTATTCCAATGGAGGAAGAGGAATTGTGGAGCGAAATGACAACAACAGCTCGCAAGCGAAGGATATCAATTCTTGTGGGGAGAAGTTTTATGATGGAGAAAATTAGGTCTTCAAGAAGTTTGCTCCAATCGCATTTCATTCTCTCCATAGCAAAGAAGAAGCAAAGGATGAAGATGAAGACGAAGATGAAGACGAAGAAGAGGATCGAATTTTTTAGCTTTTCTTGTCCCTTCCATTACTTCAAGGATAAGGTTGGCTTAACTTTTGAGAAAGTCATGGTACACATATGTAATTGTTGAAACCTAAGGGATGTTAATAAAATTATCCCATTTTCGGAAACTTTTTCTTTCATGAAAATGACTAAAGAGTAGAATTAATTTCCATGAAATTAATATATACAATATTTGTATGCAAACAAGTATGATACATAAATCATGGCGTTCATTCACCATTTCAAGCTTGTCAACCGACAATCAAACCCTGTCGGCAACAATAAACCTTAGTGGTGTATCTCTGCTGCCTTCTCTGTGTTCCTCCTCCACCAGGATTGGCCATCAGCTCTTGCCCGTTTCTGAAGTTAAATACCATGTAACATATACACATTAGCCATTCTCTCTTCCAAAGGATGCAGAATACAGGTAAGAATTACAAAAACACAAAATTTTACATTCTTGTGAAAGTACTAATCATGCATTCTTTTTAGCTCTTTGGTGAATGTCCATATTTGAGAATATCTAATATACTCTTCTCTTTGATCCATGGGGAAGAGGAGAAACTCTAGATGAATTAAGCTTCACACGGAGTTCCGCAAGAACTTCCATAACTTCTGATATAAAACTTCAAGGTCTACAGATCCTATCATAGCAACAAAAAAGAACAAAATAAAAGATGATATTAAGCCTAAAAAAGTTACAAAGATGCATATAGAGATGATAATGAAAAACAAAGTACACCATGTTAAAAAAATTAAACTATCAGACTTAGTCAGCTCTTGAGATTTGTAACAAGTATCTGCAAGCAAAGAATTTCGGAAACAGAGCACCTTGAGACACACGAAATTTATCAAGATACATTTTCATTTGAAATCGAAACAAGTAGAACGAAGAAACACTTACATTAACCAAGCTGGTGGAGGCCAAAAAACGCTTAAATAGCCTGGAAATTTCGGGAGACATTTGACTACACCATTCTTTATGTCAGAAATCCAGGTACCTTGTCCCGGATAGCCATCATCTGTATCACCTGCATAATTAACACAGCCCTCTTTAAAGC